GTTGAACAGGTTTATCGAACAATCCTGACGGCATGAAGGGGCTCCTTGGCGCTTTAAAACGAATGGCAGCAAATGATGGAAAACCGTGGTCTCAATGAACATACCAAGCCGTAGATTTTTTGAGACGGAGGTTGAGCTGTTCACAAACAGCTGGTGATTATCACAACAAAGTGCAATAGTCGGAATGTATCATTTCTGTTTAGCTTATGTGATGGTTTCTTGATTAGACACATCCCTTGCTATGAATTCACTGACTGTTAATTAGCTGTTAATCTCTCATGTTTCTAAACTTATCACGGTTTAGAAAATGGGACAGAGATAGTCAAAGTGAGGCAGTGCATTGAGCGTTCGCGGTCAATTTTGGAGGCAGTGAACACGGCGAAGCGAAACGCGGAGAACTACCGGCGTTTGGAGCAGCTACAGAAGCGACTGGATACTGCGCCGTTCGACAAAGTGCAGCATCAGATCGTGGCTGAGTACCGCTCGCTCGACTTGCGTCAGTTTGCTTTGATATACGAGGGGGCGCTGAGCTGGCGCCTCGGCAAGAACAAGGTTCGTTTCGAAAGCGCTTAAAAATCACTTCTCTTTTCGTGACTTAATCTGACCGACTTATGTTCCTTCTTTTAGGCCGTCGATTTGCACGTCGTCCTGTTCGATAACTTACTGGTGTTGCTGACAAAGACGTCCGATGGTCAGCGGTTGACGCTGCGGTTCCATAACATCAACCTCATCTCTGGCAAAGAGGATGCCAAGTGGACTCATTGTCCTTTACTGAAATTGTCCAGCCTCATGGCAAAGAACGTTGCCACAGGTAATGGTTAATTCGATCATTCAGTGGATGTGTGGGGGTTGATAGTAAAAGGGCGTGACACGTTGATATCGTAAATCCTTTAAATAGTCTAGGTGTGGCATCAACACAATATAATAATATTGTGACCGTCAGCGCAAGATCATAATAGTTTGTTTTTCCCTTGCTTATCGAAATCATGAATAATCTTCCATCTTTAGTGATTTTATTTTAGTCGTCAGATGCCTCTTCAACGATTATTCTTTCATCACAAATTTTATGATTTGAATTCTTCCAGACAGTTGTAATTCGTGGCATCCTTGTGTTTTTCGATAATTATAAATTCACCGCTTTCCTTCTCGTTGTAAAAGTCCTGACAGCGATAATATTCGTTTATGTGATTAAAATAGTCAGCGCAAGTGTTTTTTCTCTGCGTCAGCGTACCCTATTGGTTGTAATGATGTGGCCGCGACGTTAGATTTTCTTGCATCGCATTCGTTTTCTCAGCTATTCAGATTTTGTACATAAGTTCTATCCTATTGATGCTGCTATGAATAGTCCGTATGAGAAACTCAGTCCTATGCCCATTCGCTTCACCCTCGGTACTACAGTAATATGCATTTTTGAAATCTTGCTCCGGTTGAAGGTTGTCGTTCAGATGACTTTGGCGACCACTGAACTGGTCGAAAGATTCGTCTCCCTCTCTCAGACTTGATGGTTAGCGAACGAAATGCGAGTAATGCTTTCTGCCCATGGCTAACGTCCGATCTTGCTATGTTCTTTCGAGAAGCGTTTCTCCAGAATTCATATGATTAATATACGGTAATTAACCTGATGTTGAAAATGCTTAGTGAAAAACAGATGATTGCATTGCCTGCTGCCGTAACAAGATGCAAACTGGTGAAACGGAATTTTGAACGATTGCAGTGTTGTCTTGAACTAGTCATTACAACTCACTTTGTGCTTTTGTTAAAGTTATGCTTTTTCAGATCCAAAGGCTTTTTTTCTTGTGAGCACCTCATCGCTTGGACCTCAAATTTATGAACTGGTTGCGCAGACGACGGCCGAAAAGAAAAGGTAATTTTTCATTATGCATATTTTCAGAAACACACTGAATATAGCTAGACTCCGTTGACCCAAACAGTCTGCTATTGCCTGATGGAGAGTCAGTTAGCCTTTAGCATTAGTATCTTTTGTGTTGATGCTATAATTCCCTCGGTTGGTTAAATATAATTCCTTCGCCTGTATCTCCGTCTACTCCATGACGACCGCATCGCTATCCAGATCTACTCGATAGAGGTCGGTAGTGGTAACATATTGATAGCAACAACTCTTGCAGTATGGTTCGTAATGTGGGCGGGGTTGCTCCAGCGAACAAAATGATGCGGAATGCACTTGCCAATGCAGATGCTTGAATACCATGGGGTTGTGGCCTTTTTAAGTGCTCCCTGCAGACAGTTAGAAACATGAGGACTGTGCAGTACGCCATGATATTTGGTCTTGGAGAAGCTATGCATTTTTGAAAAAGGTCTAATCTAGCTGAAATAGTTTATGTGATAGTACGCGCCTCATGGCGAAGTTATTAAACAAGGTTTCTCTTAATTATCACTTCACTGTTAAATCATTTTCAAGGTACTTGTTGAAGACCCTTTGCTTCCTTTTAAAGCTGTTAAATAATTTTTCTAAAATACTGAAGCAAAATTCAAATACGATTCAGAAAGTTACAAAAATTTATTAAGCTTGCGGTGACGAAAGAGGTTACCTTTTTTTGAGCATTACATTGAATAAGTAGTAATCAGTGCGTCAAGGCGAGCTGCAGTCTTATGAGTCGCTCGCAATGGGCAACATGACCTAACTCCCGCCCTTTTTCATGTGGCCGCAGCGGAACACCATGCTGGCCCTAATATTCGCGAGTCAGCGCTCGCTACCCGTTTCTCGGTTAGTTGCACTGAAGCTACATGAAGTACATTCCTTGCCCAATGGAATTCGCGGTTAAGACATGACTTACAAATGAATGCAGGTGCCAGATTGCCACGGCGAAAATGTGCTGTGTAAAGAAAGAATGATCTAT